GCTCAACGGTCGTAAATGTGAAAAGGGATCCCGAGTGACTTTTTTCAGCGCCGTCGTAAACTTCGAACAGACAATGAGCTGTTGTAAGTTGAGGATTCCCTGTATTTTAACACCCCCTCCTTCACGGTGGAGAGTCCAGAGCCTGTTCTCCTCCAGAAGTAAGGAAAGAAGGTAGAATGTATGATTTATTCCTTGATGGATTTATTTACGGTAAACTGGGGTTGCGGAGGTAACAAACAGGCAATTGTGGTTGTGACCACCAGAGGGCGTCTGGAGTGTGGTTGAAAACTGCTTTTAGAGTCAGCAACGGACGCCTTGCATGCTACAACTCCCAACTCCGTTGAGCAAATGGAGGAAGGAAGGAAGGAAGGAAGGAAGGAAGGAAGGAAGGAAGGAAGGAAGGAAGGAAAATAGCAATAGCCCTTAAACTTATATACCACTTCGCAGTGCTTTTACATCCCTCTCTAAGCGGTTTACAGAGTCAGCCTTTTGCCCCCCAACAATCTGGGTCCTCGTTTTACCGGCCTCGGAAGGACGGAAGGCTGAGTCAACCTTGAGCCAGTCGTTCAGGATCGAACTTCTGGCAGTGGGCAGAGTTAGCCTGCAATACTGCATTCTAACCACTGGGGAGGGAAGAAGGAAGGGAGGGAGGAAAATAGCAATAGCCCTTAGACTTATATACCGCTTCGCACTGCTTTTACATCCCTGTCTAAGCGGATTACAGAGTCAGCCTTTTGCCCCCCAACAATCTGGGTCCTCGTTTTACCGACCTCGGAAGGACTCGGCAAGGCTTACGTCGGCCTTCTTGATGCTTGTCTTGCAGGCAAAAAGAAAAAAAAAAGCAACTGGAGCTCCTCCTCGCAGTAAGGAAAGCTAGCGCGTCAAGGAAAACTTTTCTTTCCCTTGCATTCACGGCACGACAATCTGCCAGGCGTCTTATTTTAAGATTGAAGGCCAGAAGGATCGCCCAAATTCCTTCTTCCACCCACCCCCCCACCCTCCTTTCCCAGCTGTTGCCTCCATTTGCAACGGGTCAGCTTCTCCTCTCCGAAAACCCATGAAAAGAGGACCAAGGCATGCAAAAGGATAAAGCCATAAATGCCTCTTCTTTGGCCCAGCAGGAGCCCTGACTGAGCTGAGGAGGAGGGGAGGGAAGGGAGGGGAGGGGAGGGGAAAGCAGATTCCTGTCTGGTGTCCCGGCTTTGCACCATTGCTGGATGCAAAATGTATTGTTTGCCACTTTCATTCTTTTCTTCTTCCCCTCCCTCCGTCCCTCCCTCCTCCCCCTTTTCTTTCAATTCTTTTTTTCCCCTTTTTTTCTTCTTTTTCCCCCTTCCCCTGGGTGAACCCAAAAGGCTGGGAAATTTAAAGCTTTTGGATTAGATCCAGCCTTTCCAAGGGAAAGGGAAAGCGACTTTTGAAGTCTTCTCAGCCCAAGGAATAGAGCTTCTGTTTAAAGTCCTTCCCCCCCCTCCCTTTTGGTCTTGGGTGTGTGTGTAATATTTTTCCCCCCCCCCCCCAAGAATCGCTTTTCAAAATATTTTTTGTTTATTATTACGGATCTGAACTTCTTTTCTGTTCCCAGATTTTGGTTGACGGGAGTGAAGTGAGGTCTGCGTGGTTGAAAAAATACCAAATCTCTTACAAAACTTGTTTAAAGAGGTTCTGCTGATCCTCCTCTTCCTCTTCCTCCTCCTCCTTTTCCTCTTCCTCCTTTTTCCTCCTTCTCCTCTTCCCTCTTTTCCTCCTCCTCCTCTTCCCCCTTCTCCTCTTCCTCCTTTTCTTTCTCCTCCTCCTCTTCTTCTTCCTCCTCTTCTTCCTCCTCCTCTTCCTCTTCCTTTTCCTACTTTTCCTCCTCTTCTTCCTCCTCCTTTTTTTCCTTTTCCTCCTCCTTTCTCCTTTTCCTCCTCCTCTTCTTCTTCCACCTTTTCCTCCTTCTCCTCTTCCCCCTTTTCATCCTCTTCCTCCTTCTCCTCTTCCTCCTCCTCCTCTTCTTCCTCCTTTTTCTCCTTTTCCTCCTTCTCCTCTTCCCCCTTTTCTTCCTCCTCCTCTTCTTCTTCCTCCTCTTCCTCCTTTTCTTCCTCCTCTTCTTCTTCCTCCTCTTCCTCCTCTTCTTCTTCCTACTCCTCCTCTTTTCCTCCTTTTCCTCCTTTTCCTCCTCTTCTTCCTCCTCCTTTTTCTCCTCCTCCTCTTCTTCCTCTTCCTCCTCCTTTTTCTCCTTTTTCTCCTTTTCCTCCTCCTCTTCTTCTTCCACCTTTTCCTCCTCCTTTTCCTCCTCCTCTTCCTCTTCTTCCTCCTCCTTTTTCTCCTTTTCCTGCTCTTCCTCCTCCTAGATTAATTCCCCATAATGCCCCAGAGCAATGCATTGCGCACCCATCCACACCCACTAGAACAGGAAAACAACAGGAGAAGTATTAGGACCTCTTATTTCAGGGAGCCACCATTAAATAATAACAGGGTTTAAATATCTTCCACAAGAGCCCACTTCCAGATGCCCATCAGCCAGATGAGAAATAACAGGCAATTAGAAGGAGAAAAATGAGGCCGCTTCCTCTGGCTTGTTTTTATAAAAATTATATAATTATGGAAGGGGCCGCACGAGGCCATCTAGTCCAACATGCAGGGAAATCAATTTCAACCCCAGAAGTCTCCAGAGATGGCAGAGCCAGCCCTTCTCTGTATGTGGACATTTCTTCTTCCCTTGGTCTCGTTCTCTTCTCTTTCTGTTGGGAATTGCACATGGCAACTTCTTCAGCATCACACAAGTTTGGGATTGAAACAAACAAAGAAACAAACAAACATAAAAAGGCTCGATGAAGACCAGGCTGAGTGGCCGGATGGGACCATTGGATTTTTGTGCTTCCATCAGGAGCATCACCAAATTCGATCTGAAATTGGACAAGAGAATCAATCTCACTTCTGCTTCGTGGGCAAAGGGAAGTCCTGGGAAATCTGGATTGATGTTTGTTTTTTAAGGCGATCTCTGGGTGCAGAAAGACTCCAGCTGGCGGCTTCTGAAGGCATCTCAGGATACTTCCCGGGGTCCCATCCTCACACGTCCTGCCATGCCTCCTTTGTCCAGTGTCGTCGGGATTCGTCATGCATAGCTGTATCTTCTTGTCTTTAAAGACTTTTTGGGAAGCGGAGGAAATCTGGGTCAGATACAAGCTTTCGGGGAATTGGTCTTGTTAAGAGCGAAGAAGATGGATTTGGAAGACTCAGCCGTCCTTCCCTGGACTTCTGCGTGCGTGCAGGAATAGAAAAGTCCCAATGGATCCGAGCAGAGTAATCCACCTCTCCTTTTTTTCCCCCCAAAATAGCCAAGAAGATTTCTCTCGGAAACCCACCAACTTCAGCCTTAAAGAGGGAACCCAATTTCTCTGCGTCCTTCCGTAAACTCGAGCCAGCTTGGGGTATTTTTTTTTTTACCCCATTCTTCACTCATCGCCCCGAATCTCGGCTCCAGAAAGAAAATGCCATTTTTTCAAGACAACTTGAAAACTTGCCTTGTCTCTCCTGCCCCCACACCCCCCAATGCAGCTTGCACCTCGAGACAGCTCCGTCCAGCGCTGCTTCTCCCATCACGCCACTGTCTTTCTTTCTTTCTTTCTTTCCTTCCTTCCTTCTTTGCCTTCTTCCTTCCCGGCTCCTCGCGTTCCCCAAATCAGCTGCTCCGGCGATGCGTCTGTCTGCGGGGAAGAACCTATCACCATGTGCCGCCGAGAGGCAGAGCTCGGAGGAGTGAAGAGAGAGAGAGAGAGAGAGAGAAAGAGGGAGGGAAGGAAGGAAGAAGAGAAACACATAATGAATTTTGACACTGTCTCCTCCGCCCCTTTCAACATCTTGAGTTCGCAAATGAGACGCCGGGGTTGGGGGGCAGGCAGGCGGGCGGGTTGGGGAGGGAGGGAGGGAGGGTGGGAAGGAGGGGAGGGGACAAGCTCTCTCTCCGCTGCCTTCCAGGGAAACAGGAACAAGTGAATGGAGCATTCATACCCAGCCCTCTCTTCTCCTCGCGCTGGAAACGCGGACAGGTGTCCACTGACTCCGGATCTGCCTTTGAAAAAGGCGGCATCAAGACCTCTGGATTTCAGAGACCGGTTGGCCTGAGGACGGGCTTCCCCACCCACCACTCCCCATCTCCAAGAAGCCTGGAGGACCGGCGTTGCCCCCTTCCCTGGCTGTCTTCTCTCCCTTTGTTTTTTCCAGCTTCCCCAACCCGCCTGTGCGAAGGAGAAGACCCCGGTGGCGTGGCGTGCCTCCCGTTCCTTCCTCTCCATCCCTCGCTGGCTGGCGCCTTCCTCGTTCTGCTGCTTTCTCCGGCTGCCAACCGAACATTCACGAGGTTGGGCTTTTGTTTGCCGGAGAAGAAGGATGGTCCAGCTGCTAGCTGTTTGCAGAGGGACGGCTGGCGCTGGGTAAAAGGAGGACGAAGCCGCCCCGGTGACTCAGGGGCGCTGCCGAAGAATGCCCCTCTCTTATTGTTCCGGCGTTTGCTGACTTCTCGCCCCACCCCGCGCGGGGTTTAGGAAACTTGGGTCTCTCTGGCACACCCCCAGTACGGTTGCTTGGAGAGGCTGCATCCCGAAATCGCTGGACACCCTACTCCGTGGACGTCTTCAGCTCAGGCCCGTCCGTTTTTTTTAATTCCCAGACGTTCCCTTAATTGCAGCTCACCATCCCGAGGAGAGGGGTGTCCAAAGGAGACGTCGACGGACCTGTTTGCTCGTCCCATCGGATGCAGAAACGGCTTTCCCGAGAAGTCCAGAGGCATCGAGGCAGTTGTGCTGGAGGAAACCCACAGCCGAGCCCCCCCCCACTTCTTGCTTTGCCATCCCGTGGAAAGAGGCAACGGTGGAGGATGGAGGCTGCTGCCTGGGCCCTTTAACCTGTCTCCATCTCCCAAATTCTCTGCTAGCTTTCTGGGTTTACTTTAGAAGCGGCCCACGGGCGGGGGGGGGGGGGGGGGGGCCCCCCCCCTTTTTCCCAGTTTTTTTGCCCCGTGCCTTTTTTTTTCCGAGTCCCCCCCACCCCGCCTGTGGTTTTAAATGACTGGCAGGGACAAGCGGTTGTAACACGAGGACCCTCTCAAGCCGCTAAGTTGATGGTTTCATAATGAAGAGAGCCACGCCTTTGGAGAACTTCTGAAGACTCAATTAGCACGCTTCGTTTGCTTCGTCCCTCGTTGTCGTCTTCGGCTGGAGAAGGACCCCCGTTTTCCTTCCTTCCTGGTGTGAAGTGGACGGATCTCCAAACAATCATTATCCAACCCCCTCCTCTCTCTCCCCCCCCACCTCTTCCTCCGGCAGCAACCCTTCAAAAGCTGATTGAGCGGAGTTTTTGCTTCGGGGGTGTCTCTTTTTCCAATATGGGGGTGCCTTTGAGCTTTGGGCATGAGGCTTTTCTTTCGTGGCGCTAAAAGCGACCTCTTGATCCTCAGGACAGCTTCTGGGGTGACCCTAGGATCCATCCGAAGGGGTTCCCCTCCCCGAACCCTCTTGGCTTCTCTCTAGCATTGGATTATAGCCTCAAGATGTCCCGGTTCAGGACGGGCTTTCCTTCCGAACGCTAAGAGCTGCTCCAGGCATGATGGAAGTCCCCGAAACTACTTAGCGAAGGACTGTCTTGGAGGAGGGCAGGCTGAGGGTTTTTTTGGGGGAGGGGGGCACTGTGGAATCGCTGCCCTGGATCTCCCAGGGAGGGCCTGGAGCCCCATCCGCGGCATGACCGCCTGCCAGTACCCCGTGGGGCCGGGCTCCTTGGACCGAGACCGGATGTACCAGCACAAAGTCTCCTTGGTGGTCCGTTACTTCATGATCCCCTGTAACATCTGCCTGATTCTCTTAGCCACCTCCACGCTGGGATTTGCCGTCCTGCTTTTCCTCAACAATTGTAGGTGTCCGTCCCCGTCCCGTCCTGTCCTGTCCCCGTCCCTTCTCGGTGTTGTGGCGTTGGGAGGCGTGGGGAGGGGAGGAGTTGAAACAAAGCAGGGGGCAAGGAAGGGGGGCTTTTCGGTGATAACTTGTCCCCCCCCCTTTGGAAGGGGAGTTGGGGGGGTGCATCGAGGGAGGGGGCGTGGTCTCTTTTTTAGCGGGTGTGATTCCTCGTCTTTGCCCAGGTGAGTCTGGACGGATGGGACCTGGCCTAATCCTGAACTGTCTCTCCCTTCCCCAATGTTTTCATTTAATGTTGAGTCCCGTGACTAGGCGCTAAATAGAGGAGCTGGGGCGTCACACGCCTGGTGGTGGCTTTGTGTGAGAAAAGGAAGCCAGCAACCTGCCTTGGCAAGTCAAACTTTGCATATTAATCAGCTCGAGGGAGATGCCTTCCTATCTACTTAGGAGCTTCCCCCCTCCCCTCTCCCCCGCTACCGGAGGTTGAATGCTGCGGGCCCTTTGATCTACTACGCCAAGATGGCTGATCAGATGATGCGCTTATCCCCCAGGTAATTGGGGAGGATGGCTGGATCTTCTGCTTAGGCAGGTAAACATTTTCCTGTCGAGCAGAAGCCCCCTCCCCCAAAAAAACGTGTCTTCCCAGCCTGCTTTCATCTCTCCGGGAGCAGAGAATTATGCTGATGTGTTTGGAATGAAAGTAAAACTCTCTCTCTCTCTCTCTCACACACACACACACACATACATACATACATACACACACACAACTGATGCTCAGCTCCACAGTCGGTGTTGTTGGGCAGAGTCCCTCTGCATTGGGTAGGCTGAGGTGGGACAATGGTGTGGGGAGCGTCAGTTGCCTTCTCCAAATTCTCAATCCCGCTCAAACTTTCTCTCTCTCTCTCTCTCTCTCTCTCTCTCTCCCCCCTCCCTCCCTCCCCCTCATCTCTCATCTTTATTTCTCTCTCTCTCCCCCTCTCATTCTATCTATCTATCTATCTATCTATCTATCTATCTATCTATCCATCCATCCATCCATCCATCCATCTCTATCTCTATCACTCTCTTTCTCTCTCTCCTTCTCTCTCTTTCTTTATCTATCCATCCCCCTCTTACTCTCTATCCCTCTCTCCCTCTCTCTCCCTCTCTCTTTTCTTTGTTTGTCTATCATCTATCTATCTATCTATCTATCTATCTATCTATCTATCTATTCCTTCTCTCACTATCTTCTTTCGTTAGAGAAGGAAAGAAGATAGTGAGAGAAGGAAGAGATGGATAGCTAGATAATCATCTTCTCTCTCTTTCTCTCATCTCTCTCTCCCCCCTCTCATCTATCTACCTATCTATCTATCTATCCATCTCTATCTATCACCTTCTTTCTCTCTATCCCTCTCTTTCTCCCTCTCTCCCCCTCCTCTCTCTCTCCCCCTCTCCTCCCTCTCTATTTCTTTCTTTATCATCTATCTATCTATCTATCTATCTATCTATCTATCTATCTATCTATCTCTTCCTTCTCTCTCTATCTTCTTTCCTTCTCTATCATCTTCTCTCTCTTTCTGTCATCTCTCTCTCCCCTCTCTCTTATCTATCTATCATCTTTCCTTCTCCCTCTCTCTCTCTCTCTCATCTCTTTCTCTCTCTCTTTCCCCCTCCCTCTGCCGTGGTCTACTTTGAGCATCTCCGAAACCCGTTCGGTTGAGCCTTTTTGAGCAGGGCTGAATCATTGGCGTAACCCACAGGAAGTCTCAGCCAGAAACCAAAAGCCTCCCTATGTAGTGGCAGTATACCTGTTTTGGCCTGAGAGGCCCAGCCACAAAGATATGGGGGGGTGGGAAGAGTTTTGTGGTATGCTGGCAGGGCTCCCAGCGACATCTAAGTGGCCAGCTCGAAACAGAAGGATGAGACACGATCATTCGTGGCGATGCTTCTCGAAAACCAAACTTTGAGAAGGAGGAGACGCCTGCGGCTTGAAGCCTGCGTAGGCTAAGGATGTGGAAGGGCTTCTGAATCTTGCAGGACCATCTGTTGCTTGACAAAGAGTCCTGTGCGACTCCAAACTCTTCCACACCCCCGTCTAGTTCCACGCAATGCCCCCAATCTACCGAGTCTTCCGCGCTTGTTGCTCAGGACTTGCAAAGGCCCCCCAAAATGTCCATATGTGTGTAGCAACGTGTGGGTGGCAGAGACAACGTGGAGCCATAAAAAGGCAGGCGGCGAGAAGTCTTCTGTCTTAGTCAACGCCTCCCAAAATAGTTTTGGGTAAACATCTCTGGAGTTGAGCTCTCTCGGTGGGAGTAACATGTAGTTCGGCCTTCCCTCTCAATTGCCCTGAGGGGCCCGCTTGTTTTCTTTTGTTTTTTTTCCTGCTCTCTCTCCTTTTTCTATTTGAGCTTGGACTACTGGCCGGGAGGGATCTTGCCGAGAGATCTCACCGACCTTTTTAGGAGCAAGATTCCCGGAAGATCTGTCTTCTGGGAATCCCTCAAAACCTCTTGAATTCTGCAGGAGATCAGTAGCAGGTGGCTGCAGCAAAGGAGAAAATAAAACATCACAGAACAAGTGGATGAATAACCTTGATGGTTGTCATTGGTGGCAGCCACAGCAAATTTGGGCAGGGCCAACTAACTTGAGCAAGGCTGCGGGTGGCCTCCTTAGAAGCCAAACCATGATATATATTTTTTGGGTCCTTCATTTATTGTTGGCTCCAAGAAGAGAATAGAATAGAATAGAATAGAATAGAATAGAATAGAATAGAATAGAGTGAAGAGAAGAGAACAGAAGAGAACAGAATAGGAAATAGAAGAGAAGAGGAATAGGAAATAGAATAGAGAAGAGAAAGGAAGAGGAAGAGGAAGAGGAACAGGAAATAGAAGAGAAGAGGGTGAAGCGAAGAGAAGAGAAGAGGAATAGGAAAGAGAAGAGAAAAGAGAAGAGAAGAGGATAGAATGGAATGGAATGGAACAGAGAATGCAATAAATAGAGTAGAATAGAATAGAATAGAATAGAATAGAATAGAATAGAATAGAATAATAGAATTCTTTTATTAGCCAAGTGTGATTGGACACACAAGGAATTGTCTCTGGTGCATATGCTCTCAGTGTACATAAAAGAAAAGATACATTCATCAAGAATCATTAGGTACAACACTTAGTGGTAGTCATAGGGTATAAATAAGCAATCGAATCATACTAGGAAACAATCAATATAAATTGTAAGGATGCAAGCAACAAAGTTACAGTCATGCAGTCGTAAGTGGGAGGAGATGGGTGATGGGAATGATGAGAAGACTAATAGTAATAGTCATGCAGACTTAATGAATAGTTTGACAGTGTTGAGGGAATTATTTGTTGAGCAGAGTGATGGCGTTCGGGGGAAAAACCGTCCTTGTGTCTAGTTGTTCTGGTGTGCAGTGCTCTATAGTGTCGTTTTGAGGGTAGGAGTTGGAATAGTTGATGTCCAGGATGCGAGGGGTCTGTAGATATTTTCCCAGCCCTCTTTTTGACTTGTGCAGTAGACAGGTCCTCCATGGAAGGCAGGTTGGTAGCCATGGTTTTTTTCTGCAGTGGCTCAGTGGCTAAGATGCTAAGCTTGTCGATCGAAAGGTCGGCAGTTCAACAGTTCGAATCCCGAGCGCCGCATAACGGGGTGAGCTCCCGTGACTTCTCCCAGCTTCTGCCAACCTAGCAGTTCGAAAGCACGTAAAAAAAAATGCAAGTAGAAAAATAGGGACCATCTTTGGTGGGAAGGGAACAGCGTTCTGTGTGCCTTTGGCGTTGAGTCATGCCAGCCACATGACCACGGAGATGTCTTTGGACAGCGCTGGCTCTTCGGCTTTGAAACGGAGATCAGTTAGTCGCTAGGGAACGACTAGCACGTATGTGCGAGGGGAACCTTTACCTTTACCTTAATTATCCTCTGAAGTCTGTGTTTGTTCTGTTGGGTTGCAGAACCAAACCAAGAACAGTTATGGAGGTGCAGATGACAGACTCAATCATTCCTCTGTAGAACTGGATCAGCATCATCTTCCCACACCCCATCCCTGGCCCAGTTCCCAACCATTATGCATATCCAAACAAGCTAAATTCATTGGCCTGTTTGCCCGTCAAGCGAAACCGGGTTTGATGGATCACCACCCTGGGAGGGGCACTAGCTAATAAATAGTTCAATTTGCCCCGTGCAGCTGGGGTCAGAAAGGAAATTAATGAATTGACTTGGGCCCCCCAGCAGCTGCTTGCCGGCGTCCCTGACCTCTGCTTGCCCAGGAAAACATGCATTTTATTAACTAACCTGAAATCCGTGTGTGCCTCCCTTGACTTCCAATTGTCGAGACCTTCAGATCACAGAAATAATCATCGTCATAATCATAGAGGCATGTGTGCATGTCTCTGTATGAATTCCTGTTCTTGGTGTCCTTCTTTCTGGGAAGGCGTTAATTCCAGCTCTTAACGCAGCTAAGGATGAACTCAAGCAACATTTGCTTCTAAAATCATCCTAGGATATTTTCTACCTCCAACTCCCAAACAAACCCTGTTTGGAAGCAGGGAAGACCCAGATGAGTTAACTCGTTCAGGGGAGCAACAGGCAGCCTCACTTGGGGAGAAGGAAGGGGTGAAGAGGGGGTGCATTGGACAGCTTTCAAAATTCACTCGGAGGTCTTTAGAGCAGGGGTGAAATCCAGCAGGTTCTGACAGGTTCTGGAGAACCGGCAGTGGAAATTTTGAGTAGTTCGGAGAACTGGCAAATACCTCTTCTAGCTGGCCCCAGAGTGGGGTGGGAATGGAGATTTTGCAATATCCTTCCCCCAGGAGTCGGGAGGGAATGGGGATTTTTGCAATATCTTTCCCCTGAAGTGGGGTGGGAATGGAGATTTTGCAGTATCTTTCATCTGGAGTGGGGAGGGAATGGAGATTTTGCAGTATCTTTCTCCTGGAGTGGGGAGGGAATGGAGATTTTGCAGTATCTTTCATCTGGAGTGGGGTGGGAATGAAGATTTTGTAGTATCCTTCCCCCAGGAGTGGGGAGGGAATGGAGATTTTGCAGTATCTTTCCCCTGGAGTGGGGTGGGAATGGAGATTTTGCAGTATCTTTCATCTGGAGTGGGGAGGGAATGGAGATTTTGCAATATCCTTCCCCCAGGAGTGGGATGTGAATGGGGATTTTGCATTATCTTTCCTCTGGAGTGGGGTGGGAATGGAGATTTTGCAGTATCCTTCCCCCAGAAGTGGGGAGAGAATGGGGATTTTGCAGTATCTTTCCCCTGGAGTGGGGTGGGAATGGAGATTTTGCAGTATCCTTCCCCTGGAGTGGGGTAGGAATGGAGATTTTGCAGTATCTTTCCCCTGCCATGCCCACCAAGCCACGCCCACCAAGCCACGCCCACAGAACCGGTAGTAAAAAAAAAAATTGGATTTCACCACTGCTTTAGAGGCCAATTGTACGAAGGGTTTATCATTTATAATTCTCAGTTTTCTGTAAACAAAAGGGGGGAACAAAACAGTTCAGCGGCTATACATGTTTTCTGATATTCATGTCTTTATTTTTTTTTCTCTCTTTCTTTTGTTTTGTAGATAAACCGGTGAATTACTTCCCGCAGGCAGTGCCCCAAGATGGTAAGTTGTAAAAAAAAAAAAAAATTCAGATCTTGGCTTTTCTCCTTGCTTGAAGGTTTGGAAATTCTTGAAGGGAAGCAACTCTCTTTTAACTCTTGACCTGTTCTAATCTAATCCACTGACGCTTCTAAATACAGAAGTATAATTTCAATTTCAATTTAGAACAGTTTTTCCGCAAACGGAAAAGAAAAGCAAGAAGAAAAAGACAAAGAAGCAATAAGCAATCTTCTTTTATTTTCTGCGATGGGTTTCCTGTCAGAGCCTTGGTGCCAATATATCATAGAAATTCATAAATGTCTAATCCTGTCGTCTCAGAGATTAATTATAACCCCTAATGGCAATCTTACGGAATAAGGATTCAGATTGCTATAGGACAATGATGGCTATCCTTTTTGCCATCGCGTGCCGGGGGGGTCACCCGCATGCGTGCACAACCCCCTCTACTCCCACCGCTCCTGGCACATAATGGCCCGGTAAGCCAGTTTTTCTCTCTCTCACCTGGCTCCAGAGCCTCCCTAGGAGTCTGGGGAGGGCAAAAACAGCCCTCCCAACTGCCCCCCGGAGGCCCTCCAGAAGCCATAAACAGCCTGTTTGCAACTTCCGACCGTTTCGGGCCTCTGGAAGGCCTCCGGGGAGGTGGGGGGTGAGGAAGGCAGTTTTCGCCCTCCCCAGACTCCTAGAGAGGCTCTGGAGCTAGGTGAGAGAGAAAAACAGGCCTTCACCCCGCCACCACCCCGAGGCCCTCTGAAGCCGGAAACAATCTGTTTCCCTACTTCTGGTGGGCCCAGAAAGCCTGAAAATAAGCGCGCACCAGAGCTGAGTTCGCGTGCCCACCGATATGGCTATGCGTGCCATCTGTGGCACGCGTGCCATTGGTTTGCCATCACGGCTATAGGAAATGGGATCAGTTGGTCAGCTTCATCTGATTTATAAAAATGGGAGAAAAAGGAGGTGTATCAGACGGGTCCTTAAATCCTCCCAAATTGTCGGATTCGTTTGAAGACAAACTGGCGTGATTTGCAGGTAGTCCTCAATTTACAAACATTTGTTTAGTGTCTGTACGAAGTCACGACGACACGGAAAAAAATTAACTTATAGCTGGTCCACACACTTTACACACTTAGCACCTTACAACACACTTACTGTCAGGTTTCGATGTCATCTCAAATAAATTGCACTCCCAAACAATTAATCTTTGCTGAAATATTCCATTTATTGAGTACGACAGATCTGGCCCCGACTTCGTCGTAGCCGATACTAACCCTCTGACCCCCAAACCCTTCCCTTTCCATTCCCCAATTCTCATCTTCTCATTGGCCATCTTCCAAGTCAGTCTCCCCAGCTTCTGACCCTTAGCCCACAGAAATGTCTCCCTCCCCTCCCATCTCCTAGGGGATATTATCTACAGAGAAAATAAGTAGGTGAAAAGTCAAGCCTCGTCTTTTTATGGCAGCATCAGAATGCTGACACTTACAACCTTACACACTTAGCAACTGGAGGCTTTCAAGAAGAGACTGGACCGCCATTTGTCAGAAATGGTGTAGGGTCTCCTGCTTGGGCAGGTAGGGGTTGGGCTAGATGACCTCCAAGGTCCCTTCCAACTCTGTTAATCTGTATCTAACCATTGCCGCATCCCTAAAGTCCCGCCATCCAAATTGGGGCGCTTGGCACGTATTTACGATGACCCTGGGTATGTGTGTGTCATACGGCCACCGTTTGTGACTCTCCCAGCCGTTGAGCAAACTCTGTGGGGGGGAGCTGGATTTGCTTAACGGCGGCGTGGTTCATTTAACGACGGTGGCCAAAAGGTTGTAACAAAAAAAAAAACAAAAAACCAGGCACGGCTCAGTTTAACCAACCTCCTTGCTTCGCCATGGAGCTTTGGATATTGTCATAAGTCGAGGGCTGCCTGCGATTTGCACACTGAAGGATTATCACGCCTTCGAATTTCCGCCAGAAGCTTTTTACATGCCGGTGATAATAACCACAAATTCATGCAAAGGAAATGATGATTACGCTGTGTGGCTCTCACCCAAATGCTCGGTATATACCCAAGGGAGTTGTGGAAATGCTTGGCAAGTAAATCTGTGGGGAGGGGGGAGTTGTCTACCCCTGTCCTAAATAGAAGCCCCCTTCCCCAGGATGCTGTCATGAGGAAGAGCCCCAGAATAAAAAAACCTAAATGGAAGAACTGGAATGGCACTTAACCCTGGAATGTGGGTGCTAATAAACTAAGTAGAGTAGAGTAGAGTAGAGTAGAGTAGAGTAGAGTAGAATAGAATAGAATAGAATAGAATAGAATGGAATGGAATGGAATGGAATGGAATGGAATGGAATGGAATAAATGGAATAAATGGAATAGAATAGAATAGAATAGAATAAATGGAATGGAATAGGAATAGAATAGGAATGGAATAGGAATAGAATAGAATAGAATAGAATAGAATAGAATAGAATAGAATAGAATAGAATAGAATTCTTTATTGGCCAAGTGTGATTGGACACACAAGGAATTTGTCTTTTGTGCATATGCTCTCAGTGTACATAAAAGAAAATATGCATTTGTCAAGAATCATAAGGTACAACACTTAATGATAGTCACAGGGTACAAATAAGCAATCAGGAAAGAATCAATATAAATATAAATCGTAAGGATACAAGCAACAAGGTTACAGTCATAAGTGGGAGGAGATGGGTGATGGGAACGATGAGAAGACTAATAGTAAAAGTAGTGCAGACTTAGTGAATAGTTTGACAGTGTTGAGGAAATTACTTGTTTAGCAGAGCGATGGCGTTCGGGGAAAAACTGTCCTTGTGTCTAGTTGTTCTGGTGTGCAGTGCTCTATAGCGTCGTTTTGAGGGTGTAGGAGTTGAAACAGTTTACGTCCAGGATGTGAGGGGTCTGTAGATACTTTCCCAGCCCTCTTTTTGACTCGTGCAGTAGACAGGTCCTCCATGGAAGGCAGGTTGGTAGCCATTGTTTTTTTCTGCAGTTCTAATGATCCTCTGAAGTCCGTGTCTGTCTTGTTGGGTTGCTGAGCCAAACCAGACAGTTATAGAGATGACCAGCCTCTTCTAACATTTATTCCCTTTTTTAAAAACGTGCCCATCCCACGACGGTTGCCGGAGATAGCGTAATCCCCAAATAATTCTGCTCGTGGCTGTCGAGGCAGCCCGCAAATGTAGACCTATATATTTCATTTGAATTCACTGCCGTATCCGAGTAAAACCCACCCAGGGTGTGGATAATGAGCCTGGAGTTTGCATCCATTCAGCTTTTCCCCCCTCGATCGTGATATATATCTGTGGCTCTTAGACAATTGCTTCCAGATGCTCATGGAACCGACAAGGAATTGCGCCAATGGGTTCCTCCAGTGAAAGGTAATCAGCGTTGTTTCTTTGAGACCCCTCCCCGAATTGTCTCTGCCTTTGGAGAGGGGCTTTGCAAGGAGAAAGTGTGGAAGGCTGGATACTGATGATTTAATTTTTTTAAAAATAAAGTGAAGTAACTCGGTTACCGAGCGACTTCAAAGAGCGTGATTATCTCGGGAAGAATTCGCATGCAGCTCGTTCCCCTTCCCCTCTAGAGGGAGGTTTATATTTTTAGTCTGGCATCCCCTGGTGGTCCCCTTTCCAGGTGGATTGCAATTCGCGGACAGAAGTGAGGATAATACCTCACAGCCTAATTGCTCCCCAAAGCTCAGCGTGGGAGGCTCAAATTCCCTTCCAAAATCAAAGCAGAGTATTTTTTGGGAGAATCCGCACCTGTGGCTTGGTTTTTTTTTTATCTAGATCAGGGGCGTCAAACTTGATTTCATTGACCGCCGCATCAGGGTTGTGTTTGATCATGTGGAGCGGGCGGGATGTGCGTGGCCAGGGGGCGTGGCCAATTCAACGTCACTCGTGTCGGAGGGGCCTGTGGTGGCCCGAGACCTCTGCCAGCGAAAACAGGCTCCCGAGTTCCGTTTTCGGCTGCGACAGCCTCCTGCAACCCTCTGCCAACAAAAATGGAGCTCAGGAGAGCCTCACGCAGCCCTCCCGAGCTCCGTTTTCGCTGGAAGAGGCACCACGGCAGTGGTGGGATTCTACCAGTTTGGGCGAATCGGTAGCTCCGACGATCAGCTGGGAGCAAACCGGTTCTCCTTGACAATCAGATGGGCCCACCCACCCGCGCTATTTTCCGACCTTTATCTTCTCAGATGATTCGCGCGGTAGAGCAGATTGCCGCGCGAATCAGCTGTGTTACGCCTCCGAAGAAACCAGGAAGTGAAGATTTCTTCAAACTGCGCACAGCGCGCATCAGGCGATTACCGAACTGGTTGTTAAAAACTGGGAGGATCCCACCACTGCACCGCGGGCCGGTCCTTCACTGTTTCTAGGGAGACCCCTCGAGCCAGATCTAAGCACTCCGCTGGCCAGATTGGGCATCCCTGATCTAGATGATCTTTGGGGGGGGGGGGTGAAGGGGGCACTGGATCCCAATTCTGAGCAAGTCGAACGGGTTTGTCGAGAGCGTCCATCTGAGACCTCGAGAAGCGTTGGTTTAGCAAGGTTTCTCTTTATTCTCCGCGGGAGTCTCCGCTACACGGAAAGCTCTCCTTGGAACTGGCCGGCTCCGGATTGGCAAAGCTTTACAAGTCTTCCAGGCTACCCCTTCCCTCCTCAGACCTCCAAGCCAGCCTCGTCTCCTCCCCAGAGCGATAAACAGGACATTTATTTAATTGCACTAATTATTTCTCTGCCATCCATCACGACGACTGCCCGCGCGGAAGAGAACTGACATATCTTTCTACATCTCGTAATAAAGACTTAAGGTTTAGGAGAGGAAGGAAGGGGCTTGGGAGAAGTTATGGACGGACGCATGGAAAACAAAGAGATTTTGCTGGCTCTCAGAGCATCTTTTATCCTCTACTTAATATAATAGAGGCTGTGTGTTTCCCCAGGCAGGTAAAATAAAAAGGGGAGAGGAAAAAAAAAACTTTCGTTTTTCTTCTACCATT